TGTATGTATGTATGTATGTAGTATGTATGTATGTATGTATGTATGTATGTATGTATGTATGTATGTATGTAGTATGTATGTATGTATGTATGTATGTATGTATGTATGTATGTATGTATGTATGTATGTATGTATGTATGTATGTATGTATGTATGTATGTATGTATGTATGTATGTATGTCTGTATGTATGTATGTATGTATGTATGTATGTATGTATGTATGTATGTATGTATGTATGTATGTATGTATGTATGTATGTATGTATGTATGTATGTATGTATGTATGTATGTATGTATGTATGTATGTATGTATGTATGTATGTATGTATGTATGTATGTATGTATGTATGTATGTATGTATGTATGTATGTATGTATGTATGTATGTATGTATGTATGTATGTATGTATGTATGTATGTATGTATGTATGTATGTATGTATGTGTGGTATGTATGTATGTATGTATGTATGTATGTATGTATGTATGTATGTATGTATGTATGTATGTATGTATGTATGTATGTATGTATGTATGTATGTATGTATGTATGTATGTATGTATGTATGTATGTATGTATGTATGTATGTATGTATGTATGTATGTATGTATGTATGTATGTATGTATGTATGTATGTATGTATGTATGTATGTATGTATGTATGTATGTATGTATGTATGTATGTATGTATGTATGTATGTATGTATGTATGTATGTATGTATGTATGTATGTATGTATGTATGTATGTATGTATGTATGTATGTATGTATGTATGTATGTATGTATGTATGTATGTATGTATGTATGTATGTATGTATGTATGTATGTATGTATGTATGTATGTATGTATGTATGTATGTATGTATGTATGTATGTATGTATGTATGTATGTATGTATGTATGTATGTATGTATGTATGTATGTATGTATGTATGTATGTATGTATGTATGTATGTATGTATGTATGTATGTATGTATGTATGTATGTATGTATGTATGTATGTATGTATGTATGTATGTATGTATGTATGTATGTATGTATGTATGTATGTATGTATGTATGTATGTATGTAGTATGTATGTATGTATGTATGTATGTATGTATGTATGTATGTATGTATGTATGTATGTATGTATGTATGTATGTATGTATGTATGTATGTATGTATGTATGTATGTATGTATGTATGTATGTATGTATGTATGTATGTATGTATGTATGTATGTATGTATGTATGTATGTATGTATGTATGTATGTATGTATGTATGTATGTATGTATGTATGTATGTATGTATGTATGTAT